TGATTTCTCGCTTTCTGTCTCTATGTCTCTCTCTGTCTGTCTGGCGAGCGCACACACCCTACAGTGAAAAACTCTCCAAAAAAAAAAAAAGAAAAGAATGGTTGAAAAATCAATGAGCTAAATTTTCATTTTAAGAAGCTAGGAGAAAAAACTCTAGAGAATTGAAAAAAAAAAAAACTGGAAGTTATAAAACACTTTAGATTGAAACAAAATAGAAATCAGATCTATGACAGAGAAAAATGACAGAGACAAGATTTATTTTGGGTCCTTGAAATCTTTAGAAGTTGCTAGAGCAGGGCAGTACTACCTAGTATTTAAGCATATGAGTTTTAGAGTTAGGCTGTTTGTATTCAAGCCCTGGCTCTGTCACTTAGCAGCTGGCTCTGTGACCTTGGGCAGTGTCTTCACATGTACCTATAGGGTGGTTGTGACAGAGAAATGAGTTAACGTATGGATAGTTCTAGAAGAAGTTGCGAAGGTGAGAAACTAGACTGAGGGAAAAAAAAACCTCTCTTGGGGGCAGTGGATGGTGTAGTGCTTAAGGCACTGGACTCCTACCACTCGCTGACTGCAGTTTGAAGCCCAAACCTGGTGACTTGAAAAATCACACCAGGCATGTATGTGAGTGTGCCCCAAATCCCGAGGGCAGAATGGAGGAGAAGGGATTGTGGTGGGGCCATCCCACCTGAGGTGAGGGGTGATTCGCAATTGATAAATCAATTTCTCTCTTTCTGTTTTTCTCTGGCAAAACAAACAAACAAAAAATACAAAAAAACCACAAAAAACAAACAAACCAATCCCTCCCAAAAAAGAATCCTCTCGTCTGATAAGTAAAGTCAAAAAAGCTCACTTCAGCAGCACACACTCAAAAGAATTGAAGATGAGAAGGATAGAGGTCAAGTTCTATCTCTGTCCTTTACTGTGGCCTTAGCCACATATCTGAGTCTTACAATGTCTCCGTGTTCTCTTCTTGAAAATGGTATGATCGATATTGTTTTTCAGCCAGTTCATAATAATTAAATCTAAAAAATATTTCTGACACTATTGGTAAATAGCAGTGGATCGAGTCTCCTCTCGAACCCTGGAATTGTCCTCTTTGGCTCCTTGATAACTTGCCCAGCATCCCTGGACCACACAATCCATCACCTATAGATTCAAGCCAAGTTTAGCAGAAGTCCTCTAGGGCATGGCTTCAGGGTCAAGGCGAGTTGCAAGTGGTCCATGTCCAGTCCATTCTGGTTGCTAAATATGTGAAGGTCACCCTGCATCTAAGACGCCTCCCTCAAAGGAGTGTTGGCGATGTCAAGGTGCCTGAAACTGGGATATATTGGCAACTTCTCCCATGCTCCCTTGTGTTTGCAGTTCTTCTTGGGTAGTGTTCAAAGTCACTTCCAACCTGTCTGAAATCAGGTGAGATATTCATGCCTCTCTGAAGTAGAAAGAACAATCGTTTCTGGTCGATCTCTGGCAGAGACTGTAGGGCTGTCTGTTCGCTTGACTTAATTAAAGTGTGGTCTAAGGACCAGCAGCGCTGCATCACTCAGAGTGCTAGAAAAGTAGCATCTCAGGCCCCACGCAAGCCTACAGAATTAGGATCTGCTTTTTTTTTTTGGAGAGGTTTTTGCTATAGGGCAAGTGTGCTTGCCAGACAGAGAGAGACAGAGAGACAGAAAGCGAGAAATCACCCCCCAGGGGGGATGGCCACGCCACAATCCCTTCTCCTCCATTCTCCTCTCAGGATCTTGGGCATGCACGCACACACGCCCGGCGTGAGTTTAAGCCACTGGGTCCGGGACCGAGACGCAAACCGTGGTCAACTATGTGGGAATCCAGAGACATAGCCATTACGCTAACTGCTGGTCCCAGGATCTGCATTTTAACAAGATCTTCAAGGACGCTGGTTTGTACATTGAAGTTTTAAAAGAATTGGGCCAGGGCATTTTGTTAAAATGAGTATTTCTAGGCTCTAATCCAGATCTAAAGTCTCTGGGACTGAAGACCAGGAAAGTACATTTCTGGAACCATCTCAAGCGGTCTTTACACACACTAAGATTTGAGAATCACAGTTTCAGATTCTTCCCAGCTGCTCCCTTGTAGTCTGGGGAGTGGGCATCAAGCCAAAGATAAGCCGAAAAATGCCAGTGTTGTCCCCTGGGAAGTTCTCATTTCACAAAGGCCCCCTCTGGGTTTTCACATCACCCAGGCTCCTGCTTAGTCTGTCTGCTCAGTCCGGTGCTTAGCCAAGACCAGCCACAGACTGGGCTGAGTGGGGACTGCCAGATTCGGAGCCGCTGGTGGTGTTTACATGGCTGGATTTGATCAGAGGAGCCGCAAGTGTGCAGCTTCTCACAGACCCGGAAGCCCCACATTTCCTCTCCCATATTTAGCAGTACCCTGCCCTCAGACCTCTCTCCTTACCTCCTGACAGGATTCGAGAAACTCATCTAAAGTCACGATGCCATCCTTATTTTTGTCCATTTTCTGAAAGACACAACAGGAAGCACTTGAAAGACTCTGGTTATCCACGTTTCAAAGCTTGCTTTGTGTTAGCTGGCACTGCCTGAGATGAGGGTAGCCCTTCCCTGGCCAGACGACGTCAGCCAGGCCCTGGCCACAGCACTTCAACTCTGAGTTTCCTTAAACCAGAAGACTCGCTCCAGGCGCTCATGGCCTCCTTGCTGGTTGTGTCGGCCGACATCCTAACCACCTTCCCTCGGCGCTCTACTAGCCTGGCCGTGAGAACGCTGGGCACAGGAAGTCTGGTTCTGTCTGTCACTTACTGTGTGACCGTGTGTGAGACCAGAGGCCTGTTTTGCCGTCTGCAAAGTGTGAGATCGGACGAGGGTGAGCTCTGACATTCTTTGGTGCTCTAGTGCGAGATCGAGTTTTTGTTAAAGTGCCGCTATGACCATGGCGCTGCTCTACTCAGGGACCCACAGTAACCACCTCGCTGACACCAGGCAAGGCTGTAGCCCTCCACTTACAGGTCACTTCTCACCCTGTCCTAGTTCCTCTCTCTCTCTTCTTTTTAGATTGTGAGGAGGTGTGTACACTTCAGAGAGAGAGAGAGAGAGAGAGAGAGAGAGAGAAAGAAAGAGAAAGTACCCCCCATGCGGGATGGTCACGCCTCAATCTCTTCTCCGTTTCTCCTTTCTTTTGAGATTTTGGGCACACATGCACACATGCCCAGTGTGTGTTTTTCAAGCCTCTGGGTCTAGGACTTAAACCATGCAGTACGCCATGTGGGACCTAGCCACCTTAGCCACCACACCACTAGCTGGTCCCCACTCTAATTTCTAACCCCGTTTTTCCTTACTTCCCAGACACAAGTGGTTCACACCCACATGAATATGCTTACTGAAGTCTGAATTTAGTCTGATCCATCAAGATTTTTTATAGTACCTAGAGGCTGTTATAATAAGATGCTTCCTTGTTCTCTTCTGTAGTGTATGTTTGTTTCCCTAAAGATCTCACCTATTCCTTGAGGACAATATATATCATAATTCTTTTCTGTTTCCTACAGTGCTTACTAGTACAGGGGGATAAGCCGCTTGCTCAGGTGCTTGGACTTTCTGCTATTTGCAGGGGATGCAGAGCTCACTGCAGAGGGTGTAGAGCTCACTGCAGAAAGTGCAGAGCTCACTGCAGGGAATGAGGAGCTCACTGCAGGGGATGCAGAGCTCACTGCAGGGGATGAGGAGCTCACTGCAGGGGATGCAGAGCTCACTGCAGGGGATGAGGAGCTCACTGCAGGGGATGCAGAGCTCACTGCAGGGGATGAGGAGCTCACTGCAGGGGATGCAGAGCTCACTGCAGGGGATGAGGAGCTCACTGCAGGGGATGCAGAGCTCACTGTAGAGGGTGCAGAGCTCACTGCAGGGGATGCAGAGCTCACTGCAGGGGATGTGGAGCTCACTGCAAGGGATTCAGGGCTCACTGCAGAGGGTGTGAAGCTCACTGCAGAGGGTGCAGAGCTCACTGTAGAGGATGTGGAGCTCACTGCAGGGAATGCAGAGCTCACTGGAGGGAATGCGGAGCTCACTGCAGAGGGTGCAGAGCTCACTGGAGGGGATGCAGAGCTCACTGCAGAGGGTGCAGAGCTCACTGTAGAGGATGTGGAGCTCACTGCAGGGATGCAGAACTCAGTGCAGAGTAGAGAGAGATTTTTTCAGGGAATGCAGAGCTCACTGGAGGGAATGCAGAGCTCACTGGAGGGAATGCGGAGCTCACTGCAGAGGGTGCCGAGCTCACTGGGATGCAGAGCTCACTGGAGGAGATGCACAGCTCACTGCAGAGGATGCAGAGCTCACTGCAGAGGGTGCAGAGCTCACTGCAAGGTATGCGGGGCTCACTGCAGAGGGTGCAAAGCTCACTGTAGGGGATGCAGAGCTCACTATAGGGGATGCAGAGCTCACTGCAGGGGATGTAGAGCTCACTGAAGAGGGTGTGGAGCTCACTGCAGAGGGCGTGTGCTTACCTGGAAGAAGACATCCACGTGCTGCCTTGGAGTGTCTTCTTTGAGCACGGGATATGTGTATTTCCCCATCATGTCATAGATGGCTTTGACGATGTCTATCATCTCCTAGAGAGAGGACATGGAAGCACAGAGATAACATCGATAACATCTATGCTTTCTTTCTTTCTTTCTTTTTTTTTAGAGAGAGATTTTTTTGGGTGTGCGTGCTCACCGGAGAGACAAAGAGAAATAGAGAGACAGAAAATAAGAAATCCACCACCCCCCTCGGAGGGATGGCCACACTGCAATCCCTTCTTCTCCATTCTCTTCTTGAGATTTTGGGCACTCATGCACACACGTCTGGCATGAGTTTCAAGTTCTAGGTCCAGGACTCAAAGCATGGTCAGCTACGTGGGAGTCCAGCAACATAACCTCCATCTGCTGGTCCCTCATCTAGGCTTTCCTAATGACAGTTTGGGCTTCCTTGCCAGAAAGAGTGATTAAAAGGAACTTCTTCAGCAGATGAAGGGAGTTACAAAGCAAGATGAAGGGACTATATCCTGCATGCCTCTTTTTTTTCTTAATCTATTTTGCATTCATTCACTGAGCATCATCACAGCATACAAAATGTGATTTTTTTTTTTTTGGAGAGGTTTTTCGCTATAGGGCACGTGCGCTCGCCAGACAGACAGAGAGAGACATAGAGACAGAAAGCGAGAAATCACCCCCCGGGGGGATGGTCACGCTGCAATCCCTTCTCCTCCATTCTCCTCTCAGGATCTTGGGCATGCACGCACATGCACCCGGCATGAGATTTAAGCCACCGGGTCCGGGACGCGAACTGCAGTCGACTACGTGGGAATCCAGCGACATTGCCAATACACTAACTGCTGGTTCCCAAAATGTGATTTTCTATCCACAGTACACTGCATAGTGGTTTAATCATACATGTTATCATTGACAAATAACTTTCCATTTCTTGTTTCATATATGTGTGTATATATATTTTCCCCCCTATTTCTCACCTTCTACCATTTCCCTCCCTCCTTCCACACCATCTCTGGTGTCTATAGTTGCTTTCCATGTCTTTCTCCCTCCACATTTTATTGATTCACAAAATATCTTAATTAAAGTAACTACTTTCAATAGCAGGTTCAGCTGATATATATCTACACATGAACCCAAGTCTGACTTTAGGCATAAACCTCAGTGAGTAGAATGAACATATTATAAAGTAGTACCCAGCTGGGGCTATA